TTCGTACGTACGTCGTTTTCTTTCGTTTCGGTTTCGTTACTAGACACGAACCACTACGGGACCGACGACACTCGCCCACCTACGACCTCCACGTCCTCCCCCCCCCTCCCCTCCTCTCTCTCTCTCTCTCTCTCTCTCTCTCTCTCTCTCTCTTTCTCTCTGGTTTCTTTCCTGTTGATGGAGATTTGGGGCCTGAAAGGGAAGCTTTATTTTATGCAGGCTTCTATCCAGGAGATCGAGGTCGAGGTTGCAGAGGTCCTGTTCGGATTAACAAGGCAAATCGTGAACAGTAATAACCACTGTAATAATGTCTCTTCTAGAACTGATTTCTACAAGGACAATGGATCCAACCAAGAGGCTTCAAAAGTATCTTCTTCTTCCATGGCCTCTTCTCCGATTTCCCCTCCTTTGCCTTCTCAGCCCATCTCCATCACTCAGAATTCTACTTCAAATGCACATTCTCCGGCTGTTGGTGTGTTGCTTCTCTCCCTAAAACAGATACACACTCTCTCTCATTTAAACTTAATGGGTTGCAAGATCTTGGGTTCTTAACTTGAATTTGTATTTGTTTGCAGCCCCAAAGAGGAAGCGACCAAGACCGGTGAAACAAGAGGACGAGAGTCATGCGGTTACTGGTAGTTCACCATTTGATTCAGGCAATAATGTTGGGACTTTTAATACCCAGAATCCCCCTTGTACACCTGCAACCAAGCTTGTTGAGGAGCAAGGACCTCAGCCTGTAGTCGCAAAATCGGAGGCTTTGTCTCCTAAATCAGATGCAGGGCTTGGTGATAATCTGGGGGTTTCTCAAATGGCTACCAAGCCAATAGATCCGGATACCAAACCTCCCCCATCGCCTGAGAAGAAGCCTTCTGTTGATGAAAAAGATGCTAAGGCTTCAGAGAAGCCAATTAAAGAACGGATTGACTTGAAGGATGCAGATACAGTTGTGAAGGACTCCCCTTCTTCAGCTAAACCAGAGGATGAATCAATAAACAGGTAAGCTTATAAGCTTCTTGCATGCATTGGTGATTGGCATTTTGGGCCATCCTTGTTTTTCCTTTTTGGTGGGATCGAATAATATGGATGTTCTGTTCTTATTGAGATTTTACAGGGTTTCTTCGAGTAATCCTGGTTGTGAGAGCTTGAGGGAGGAGAAATTCAAGATTGACCTGATGGTATGCTTTTCATGCGCTGCACGTTAGAGAGATATTCATATTTGGTTTCATGGTGAAGTAATTCATAGAGTGAGAGAATTGCCATTTGATTGCAGGCTCCTCCTGCAAGATCTTTGCTGGACGTGGAAAGTGATGGGGTGACAGATCTACCACAAGAAGATCCTCAACCACCCCAAGCTCCTGAAAAGGAAAAGGTAAAGGTAAAAGCAATTCAAGTAAATATTAGACATCGATATATTTTTGGCTTTAATCTGAGGAATCGGCAATATACAATTGATGGTTTTTTTTTTCATATGCAGGTTGTGGAATCTGTGGTGGAAGCACGGACAAACGCAAAGAAGGAAAGTTCTCCAGAGGAGAAAGATTTGGAATCAGTGAATAAGGCAAATGTAGAGGAACGGGAAGAGAAGAAGCTACAAGTGGTCAAGGAGAGGATCCCTGATCTCCATTTAGATGCAGAGAGATTATCAGATAAAGATTATAGCAGCAAGCAACAGCTTCAGAAGCAGGGCAAAGTGATGAAAAATGAGATAAAAGTTCCAAAGCAACCAGAGAAAATTGGTACTAATTCAATGCTCTTTGCTCATATGAATATCTGTGTGTGTTGGCTACAATGAGTTCTGTCTATGAATTTCATTTTTCTCCATTTCTTTACTTTTCAGGTCAATCTTCGTCTTCTGGTATCAATGCCGCTGTCACAACTTCCACCTCAATGGCGTTGCCCATGACAGTTGCAGGCTGGCCTGGTGGCATTCCTCCTCTTGGGTATGCTCTCTCTCTCTCTGGCAGGGGGGACCGCTTTCTCTCTCTCTCTCTCTCTCTTCTCCCTTCTCCCCCCTCTCTCTGACACACATGCACACACACGACTGCATGCAAGCACACCCCAAAAGGAGAGGTCTTTGCAGTAGTCCAGTAGCCTGAGTAGAACTAATTTTAGCAGGTACCTGGGTCAAGCCCCTGCTAATTGGTCTGGAGTTTCATCTCTTCAAGCAGTTGTGTCCATGGAGGCGAACACAGCAACCCCAACCTTACAGGTGCCTCTCTCTCTCACTCTGTGTGTGTGTGTGTCTAATCCCCCCCTCTCCCCCCCCCCCAAACACACACACACTCACAAATAAGAGACCCACATTTGGCGTTTTCCACATTTGAAACTGATTATGGAAGTTGTCTTTTGGTGTTGAAGCCACAGCCACCCTTAGTTTTGCCCCAACCGAGACCAAAACGCTGTGCTACGCATTTCTACATTGCCCAAATCATACACTATCACCAACAACTGGCTCGAATGAATCCTTTTTGGGCAGGCTCTGCACCTGTGTATGGCACCAAGCCTTACAATCTTAACATTTTGCCTCCCACTGAGGGTGTGATCCTTGGTGGACCTTTGCCTGGACCCTTTGCTTCTGCTACTGGTAGAAACATGAACCCATTGCAAGATAAGGGGCAGGCACCACCTTCTGTTGCTGCATTTTCAGGCAATGGCCATGGTTCTAAAGAGAAACCCGCTGCAATGTTCATAGACTCTCAGAGAAAACCTCCCCTTATTCAGCAGGCACCTCCCCAACCTGCTTCTGCAACTAGTATGCAGGTACAGGTCTTGTGTTCTTTTTGGCAACAAGAAGCAATCTTTGCTTTGTGGATCTGATTTTCATGGAAATTCCAACTTTTTTTTCCATCATAAAAAATGTAGGTTTTTTTTAAACCATAAACAAGTGGGTTTTCTTGTCACTGTAGATATTTTGCAGAGCAATGTTCTTTGCTAACTTGCTTCTTATTTTAAATTTTTTTTTATTTGAAATTTTGATTTTTTTTTTCCAGCATGGGCCTGCAATTATCTTCCCTTTGAACCAGGCAGCTGCTGCTGCTGCAGCTGCTAGACCAGCAGGATCGAAGCCTAATTCAACTACCAACGTTGGGAGCTCTGCAACTTCAGTGGGTGGTTCCAATTCAGTTTTGGGACCAGCAGGGACATCCCCCTCTATGAGCTATAGCTTTGCAAACTTGGGCGCCAATGAAGCTCAATATCTTGCCATGTTACAGAGTGGGGGCTATTCATTTCCTATCCCAACCCATGTAGGAGCTGCAGTTGCAGCTGCATATAGAGGAAGCCATGCCCATATGGGTCAACAAGCAACACCCTTCTTCAATGGCTCCTTCTATTCATCACAAATGCTCCACCCCCCTCAAGTCCATCCTCAACCTCAACAAACTCATCCTCAACGTCCCCCTCCTCAACAGGCTACACAGCAAAACCCCAGCACCTCAAGTGGCTCCTCCTCATCGCAAAAGCATCAGCAACAACACAGGCTCCAAGGCACCTCTCATGGCTTCTCAACCTCAAAGCAACAGAGACCATCATCCCCTTCTCCCTCTAATTCACACCACCACTCTAACCTTCACCTACCCCCTCAAGCACGACAGCTCGAGAACAATGAAGCAGGGGGAGAGAGCCCCTCTAGTGCAGATAGCAGGGTCTCACTTGTTCAAAGGGGTTTCTTTAACCAGAACAACACGAACCCCACCTTCAATGTCATGCCCATTCACCCACAAAGCTTTGCCCTGATGTCTTCGGCTTTAGGACCCAACAAACCTGGTGAAAAGCCACAACAATCAGGTGACCAACATCTCCAGTTTGGTTTGAAGGGTATGGAGCTCACTGCATCTCAGGCATTTGCCATGTCCTTTGGCCCAGACTTCTCATCAATGGCACAAGGCCACACGGTGTTCCAAACCCTGCCTGAAGCTGCCAGGCACCATTACCAGCTTGCCCATAGGCAGGCTATGCCTCCCCAAAAGCATCACCAATCTGTTAATGCTGCTACTACACAAGAAGAAGGCAAGACCCCAAGTGATTCAATCACAACTGGTGCTAGCGAGGATGACCGAAAAGCCCCTGTAAAAGGCCCACCAGCTCCTCTCCAACCACACCATTCATTGAACTTCTCAAGGGCAGATGACTCATCCCCAACTCACTTGTCTAGTTCAAGCGTCGGTGACAGCTCATCTCGCACCCTAAACCTAATCCCGGCACCCTCAAATGGCTCTCGAGCCTCTTCCACTCGTTCAACCCCAACTTCCCAAAAGCACCAGCACCCTCAACCTCAAACCCAAACTCAACCTCAAACCCAAACTCAACCTCAGATGATTACACGCAACAAACAACAGGCGAGCAATGTGGGTGCTAGTAGTGGTGTTGTTTCTTACAGTGATAGGCCTTCTCCTAGTGTAACCAAGCTCCCTGCTACCCTTTCAAGCTTCCCTCAGGGCCTTATGCAAAGTGGAGGAGGGGCAGGGACCCCGCAGTCTCCTCAGTGGAAGACGGCAGCTCGAACCACTCAGGCTCCTATCTTGTTGCCTTCACCTTCGCCTTCGACTACTGTAACAAGGAACCTACACCCTCAGTCAAGGGCCTCACAAGGAGGGCCCACACCTGCCACCACATCAGCAGCCTCGCAGATATCATTTGGAGTGAAGTCAGTGGGGCCAATGGTGAGTCCTAGCCCTTGCCCTATTCCGAGCCCTGTGGTCACTGGGTCCCCTTCGTCTTCCTCAGTCTCAAAGGGGGGGAGCCCATCGTCTAGGGCTAAGGCAGTGGGCCCACCTCCTCAAGTTAAGAGCAACACATCATCCATCGGCACGGTCGCTGGGTCGGGCTCAGGCTCAAGTTCGGCCTTGGGCAGTCGCAAGTTACCATCGCCTGTTGGTTCCATATTGGGCCATCCCCATATTGGGTCTGGACCGGGGCCTGGACCTGGACCTGGACCAGGCTCGGTTAGGCCTCAAACACCTGTGTTGGCAGGCCTGAAGACACAAGGCCAGCCCACCCCAACTCAAAAACAGGCTTTACAACATGCACAGCTTTTCTTCTCCAACTCTTACTTACCGGGACAATCTTCTCAATTATCTCACCAGAGCACCTCAGCTGCCACCTCTGGTTATATTCCAAAGTCGTCAGCTTCTCCACAAGCTCCTTTTGGCAATAGTAATAATAACCCGAATCAGAGGAGGGCCGGTGAGCAACAAACTACCCCTTCTCCAAACCCTTCAGTCACTGGTGCACTATCTCTTGGCCCTCCAACCCTAACCCTGGCTGCTGCTGCTGCTGATCCTACGAAGGCAGCAGCCTCTATGAAGAATTCACCTGTGTTGCATACGCAGTACAAGAGCTTGGCTGGCATTCCTTCTTCTCATCCGGCCATGGCTTTTCCTTATTTTTATCCTCACACTCAAACTCACACAGGCCACACAGTTATGCCTGTGAAATCGACTGAGCAGAAGCCTACAGCAAGTAAACATTGAAAGTGACTTATGGGGTGGCTATGAAATTGGGTTGGCTAGACCTCCAACCAATGCCATGAGAAAATAGATATTCATATAATCATATGAAGAAATGGACCCATTCTTCTCATGCCTCGTGGATAGAGTGGAGAGAAATAGAGGACTCGAGTCAGGGAAACAGGGGGGTTTCTCTTAAGAGAAGGGGAGATTGCCCAAGTACAGAATGTGGGGTGGTCTCAATTCGGTGCGTGAGAGCTTTGTGATGAGGCCATGGTGTTTTGGAGCTTCCATGGCTGCAATTTAGAGTCACGCCACCATTTAAAATGATCCAATTGAAGAAGATGCTGTCCTGAGAGCTGAAGGGGTTTGCAAGGGATTTCAGTTACATAGAAGCAGAGATAGAGAGTAGAGGATGATTGCCGTTGCCATAATTTTTGGTATATATTTCCTTAACCGTCTTCCCTTTTGTTCCTTTTTCCTCTTAGAAATTTTTTGTATGATATACTCAAAACTACCCTGGCCCTGAAGCTAATTTTAACTGTAGATTCGCCATAACTACTATATATATATATATATATAGATATCTCTCTCTCTCTGTCTTCCCTTAAATGTGATTCACAGGTTTAGTTTTTTGGGCTTACTTTATTTGTCAGGAACAGGTGGTATATATATATATATATATATACACCTTGCAGGCTTTTGATTTTGATAAAGTCAAATATGGAAAGGCAGCATATGGGGCCTGTCTCCCTCAGGGTACTATCTGCTTTTATCCTTCAATCTTTTCCACCACCCCACTTCTCTCATGTTTTGTTTTCAAGAATCTTCAATGACATTGAATGTGAAAACAAGGCTCTTCTTTTTTACTGGCATATGTCCACTGTAATGTGAAAAAGGTAGTAAAGACGCTCAAAGGTGGCTCTTTGTCTGGTCATAAAAGAGAATGTGAGGGCGGGAGGGGAAAAATGGGTTTGCAGAGTGTGGAGCCGCCCTCACCTCCTTGTGGTAGTTGAGACCCCTCACTGTTGCGACCGACCACCTAGGGTTTATGCATACGTACCATGCCATGCCATGCCATGCATGTCAACCAATGAGTTGGCTTCTTGGGTCCTTGGGATTGGTGGGTGGGTTTGTGGAATGTATGTATGTATGTATCTATGCATGGGCGTGGCATTATACGCGTGGAGATAGATTTTGGTGGGGCAGCTGACTTAAGTGGGGACCCACATAAAAACTAGGCCTTTGAACTACAATAATAAGAAAAGGTGGACTCTATGTGAAGGGCCCCCACCATTCATCTAGCCCACTCTTAAAGACTTTCTCGTGTCACGTGCTCTTAAACAAATAAGAACTTGTTTGGGGAGAGAAATACAAATCAACAAAATACTTTCCAAAACGTCCTTGAAAGGTGTAACCAGCTTGCCTTTGGAAAAACAAAAACAAAGCAAAGCAAAATTCTTGCTACTATGACCGTCGTACGGTCAACCTGCTTTTTGGCCCCTGTTCCATGGTCCACCTATGCCTATGGTTCCAACTTGCAAGCAAAATTCAACAAAAATCCAGTGGAATTGAACAGAGGACTAAATGGTGGTTTTATCATAATGGTACATCATCATTAACCATTCCCTTTTTTTTCTTTTATGTTTCAGTGAGGACTCGAACCTAAGAGGTGTATATATGTAATATGGGCATGTATACTATGCTATGCTCCCTCGGGAACATAACTTACTTCTATTCCCCTGGTGAGAAGACCTATTTGGGTGGATATTTTCAATTTGAAATTATGGGAAGCGCATGTGGTTACTAAATGATTATTCTAAAAAAACAATTTGTAATTTGAGTTTTTTAATACTTAGATCTCACCATCTCGAAATAAATTTGATGGTCTCTATTCAATCTAGAGACATTACTTTTTTTCAAGTGCATAGAGGACATAATTAGAAAAATGTTGTCTTATTGAGGTAATCTATAGGTTGACAATGTTACATCTGCAAAATTTGGGGTTTAAGATGGGTTTTACTCAAGGGAGTAAATGTACAAAAAACTCGTTAGAATATCTTTTGGCAATATATATCTATAGAGGAATGATTTTATGCAAACGTTGTATAGTAGTATAATGCAACCATGTTAAAAAATTATGTTAGAGATATTTGTTTGACATGAATTTTTAAATGGACACTCTTTTCATTTTGAAGAACAATCACAAAATTATTTTTTTAAAAAAATACTCTAGAAAGTTTTCATTTTAGTCCAATAAATATAAGCTTTTATTTTATTGAGATCGTTAGAAATAGGCTTCAAAAGCATATGTTTATTCCTAAAGTTTTTATATAGCATTATCATCATTAGATTAATATTGTTAAAAAAGAAAAAGTGATTTTGAATTTATTAAGGCTTAAATCTTGAAATCTTCCAAATGGATGGTCGAGATTTATTGTTGGATGGGTACTAATTTTGACCATATCTAGAGCGTAAATAGAATTTTTATTTTGTAGGATTGATTATGAGGATGAAGAGAAAGCGTGTGCAAAATTTGAGGTCATACAAATACTAAAAATATGATTTTCTAGAAATGTGGTTGCATTATACAACTATAGTTGTATTGGATCATTTCCCTAGTTTGATAGTCAACGTACAACACTCTCACCCTATGTTTTTCATTTCAAAGTGGACTCAAAACTGAGGCCATGGTGCTTGGGCATGTGAATCCATGGCTCTACGGTAAAATATGTGATGAGAGAGACAGATGATGTTTTCTCAAAAAAAAAAAAAGAAGAGAGAAATGATGCTCTGCCCTTTATGTTTTCTTAATTCCAGAGAGAGAGAGAGAGAGAGAGAGATAAAATGCTCTGCCCTTTATGTTTTCTTAATTCCTCTTGAATATATCTGATATGAACCTTCTACCAACAGTAGTCAATACAAGGGTCATTTCTAAAATATCTGAGTTATCGTGTTTATTCTTCTTTTAAACCCCAAAAAGTATGGTTGCTCAACTATTCCTGTTCAACCTCTTATAATAGATGTACAACCCCATTTGCATCTCAATTACACACACAACCACCATAACCATAGTTGGAAAGTTCAAAACTCCAAAATAATTCATCATCCCAACTGAGAAATTTTCAAATATTTGAAATTTAACCCCACTGTTTTTACTCTCTTTCCATGTCTTAACTCTCATTGCAAGATTTCAGCTTTTCAACCATCCAAAGATTACAGCCTTCTTTTTCAATACCCAACCACTTGTGCCGCCAAGACAGCGACCTTGTGGAGAGGATTCTTCTGCATGGTCCAATACTGTGCAACACTTGGCTTTGCATGCTGATAGCCCAAAATTGGCAGTCCACTTCATTACAAATTAATTTTATTTGGCTTATTGTATATTAGTGTAACATTATTTTCGGAAACTAACACATGCCCTAATTTTGAAAAGAAAGCGCCAAGAAGCTTCCTCCGTCTTCCTGGATGCCAGCTGAGTTAAGCGTTCAATAATTAGTTGTTTGGGGCCCAAAAAAAATCGTCAGCATAAATTAGGCCACACTGCGCGATTTCCATAAATAAATTCATCGATTTTGCTTTTGTTGTTTCTAAAGTAAAGAAAATGTATGGCAAGCTTTTGGACAAATGTTAGTTGGAGCTCCATAATGCTAAAAATCTTTCTAATTTAGAAGCAACAGTTTTGCTTTATCGTCGGCATGCATCCAGAACTCTTGAGACTGGCCCCAGCACCATATCCATTAGGAATCTTATGATAACTCATGAAATGAATTTTAAATGTGTTGCTTCATAAAGCAGCAAGATAAAAGTCAGTAGGAAGGTCCACTAGGCCTCTGTTTCTTATTTTGGGTTTTTATGAAGGCCTAGGTTCATGTCCACTCCCACCAAAATTTTCCTATAATGTGATACACACCCGTGCGCGCACACACAAGTACATATATATGCATGTATATAGTGCCATACACATACAAATGCATTACCTATATATCTGTGTCTGATGGGATTCTCCAATTGTGGTTGCCACACAGATGAATCACCATCCACCCAATTCCACTAGTCGTTATCTGTAATCAAATACATTATTTAGACACACTTGTATGAATATGTGTATGCATGGATTTGTCCTGCATATCTATAAAACTAAGAGATCAAATCTGAGCTGATGAATAAGGACTGAAACCTTCATCGCTTATCTTGCGTTGCTGAGATTGTCACTTGCTGAGGAGTGCATGGAGGTCCTAACGAATGTAAAGTCAAGGAATTAGAGTTAAAGAAGGATGTTAAAAGCACAGAGAAACTTGTCTTTATGATGCTGTGAATAAGAAAAAGTGTGAACGCAAGCAACAGCTCACAAAAGGAGGCAACCTATAACAAGGGTGCCCTGTACAACAACCCACCAAGGGCCCAAAAAATGCTCTACAGCAAGAAAGGAAAAAGCAAGATACAATAAATGTGGAAGAAAAAAAAAGGGGTGGGACTAAGAGCTCAAAAAGTCGCCAAAATTCCCCATGGTAGTATTGGATTGGGCTCCTTCCCTAGCTAGAGCGTCGGCTGCTGCGTTGGCTTCCTTGATGATATATGCCTCCATGAGATGCATACTCTTGCAAATGAGCGAAATTTCGTCAAAAATATGGTCGAGTCTCCAAGGGTAGGAACCATATTCAGAGGCCCAGGCGATGACGTTCCTAGAATCCCCTTCGACTATCAACTCGGAACTCCAGCTAGGATTGGATTTCCAAAGGCACTCCAAACGAACGAGAGCCTCTGCTAGGGTGGAATCTGCAGTTGCAATGGGGAGGGAGAAGCCTGTAAAGAGCTTGTGGTTTTCGGCCTAAAAGACCAAGGTTCGGACTCTGTCAGTCAGTGTGCCCACTATGGTTCTCTCACCCCTAAAGATTCTATCGTTTCTTTCTATTCAAATGACCCATTGCATGGCAGCCATCGCGGCCCTACATAGGAGATTTGCCTGACCTAGGCCAGGGGGTGTGAAGGAAGGCTGCGTAGAGGTGAGGAACCGATTGCGGTGTTACCCACAACCAATTGAACAGTTGAAGGTTGCTCCACAGGGCTCTTGCAATATCACAATGGATGAATAGATGTGCGTTAGTTTCTTTGGCCTCCAAACACATTAACATCTATTGGGTAATGGGAGACCCCTTCTTGATATGGTCGATCGTCAAAGCTATTTCATGGAGAGCGATCCAGCTGAAGTCCTGGATCCTGGGTGGAATGAAGAGAAACCAGGCTTTAGTCGCTATGGAAGGAGGGGTTGCTGTTTGGGCTGCTGGTACGGTGATAGTGCGGAAAAGGGACAAAATCCCTGATGCAGCCGATGTTCAAATGATCTTGTCAGCCCCATTAGGGGGAACGAACACGGCATAGGAGCTCTGCCATTGCCAAAAACTCCTCCAATTCATTGCCAGCAACGGGCCTTCTAAAGTTGGGAGTCTAAGATCTAGCTGGACCCGAGGTGCTGAAATTGTTGGCCACAGTAGTGTGGGCGCCACGAGCAAGAAGGAAGAAGTTGGGAAACTGGTACCTAAGCGGAGCATGGCCTATCCAGAGATCGGAACATAACTTCACCCTATTGTCCTCCCTCGGACAAAAGTGAATGTGTTGTAGGAAGAGATTGCGGTAATGGAGTAGGGACCTCCAAAGACCCAAGATGCTGCCACTATTCCTGTATGTAGGGAGCCAGGTTTCGACTCTGTGGAAATATTTGTGGCGTATAACTTCCCTCCACGGTTGGGTTGAGTGGCATAACGCCACCACCACCTGCCAAGAAGTGAAATCTGAGGCTGTGGATACCCAATCCATCTTGGACCTTCAGCATGCACACCTTGGGCCACGATAAGAGGTGATACTTGTAGCATCATTCTCCCAACCAAAGCCCTCATCAGCTTCTCTAAGCGAGAAGCTACAGAGGTAGGGATATAAAAAAGGGACATTTGAAAACTAAGAGAGGGCGGCCTTTATGAGGGTGAGTCTGCCAGCCAAAGATAGGCACCTTTCTTTCCAACCTGCCAGCCTCTGAACAAATTTGTCAATTATGTGACTCCATCGAGTGAGTCTAGGCATGCCAAGGCATAGTGGAGGCCCAAGTAGGTGGAACGGAGGTCATCGAGCGAGTAGAGCCTCAAAGTTCTCCTATTGTTATTAAACTTGCATTCCATATATTGTGTCTTAGTCTGGCTAAGTTTAAAACATTTAGATTCTAGAGCATCCCTCCAATCAAAACTATGTTGTCCACGAACAATATACACCACGATACTTCATCCTGTAGGTGCCTGGTTAAGTCATCCATAACTAAGACAAAAGTGGTATGAGCTCAACACTAACCCCTGATGTAGACCTATTGTCATTGAAAACTCACTCTTCTCTCCATTAGTTGTCTGCACACTAGTTAATGCTCCCTCGTATATATCTCTCACCAAATCGATATAGTATCAAGCGACTTTTCTTTTCCAACACCTACCAAATTAAATCTCGATGTACTCTTCTATAAGATTTCTCTATATGAAGAAAGGCCAGGTGGGAGTCCTTTCCCTTCACCCTAAAATTCTCAACCAGCTGCATAAGTAGGAAAATGGCCTTAATTGTTGACCTCCTGGCATAAACTGAATTGGTTTTTTGATACACTTATTCATGCCTAAGCCGTTGCTCAATTACTCTCTCTCACAACTTCATAGTATGGCTCACACGTTTAATCCCTTCGATAGTTCACACAATTTTGGATGTCTCCTTTGCTCTTGTAAATAGGTACCACAGTACATTTCTTCCATTCGTCTGACATTTTCTTTGTTCTCAATACCTTGTTGAACACAGCTTGGTCAGCCAATCAATGCCAATCTCCCTCATGCACTTCCAAACCTCTATTAGGATACCATCTGGCCCTAAAGTCTTTCCTATCTTCATCCTTTTCAAAGCTTCTTTCAGTTCTGACATCTTAATCTTACGAATATATCTATTTATGCTGATGGTTTGGAGGACCCATTGATGAGCACATAAAAGATGGAACTAGAGATCTAACCCCGAATCCACTTCCTCCATTGGGGCCAAAGCCCATTCACATAAGGATCTCATCTAGTATGGTCTAGTCTACATGGTCGTAGGCTTTCTCTCAGTCAAGCTTAATGATTAGACAGGGAGTTTTGGAGTTGGGGGCGTGAGAAAAGGCTGGTATACAAAGTTTGTTGCTATTGATAAATCTACTACAGATCAATAGGAAAACCCAAGATCAATTTGCCAATCAAATGGTTAAAAAGCATTCGCAAGACCTTTCAAGAATTGCTCTCTTGCAAAACAGACTTCAATTCTGAATAATAACCTTTACAATCCATCATCTTTATAGACACAACATCAAATTTCATGTTTTTTAGATACTTCAGGATGATCATGAAAGCCTCAGTGCAAGTAGAACCAAGCAATGTTTAACTTTGACCAACCAATCCGGCATAATTATAGAGGCTCGGAAACAGCTTCTTCTCGGCATAAACAAGTCAGCAAGGAGACTCAGGAATTCACCATATTGTTGAGGCTCATAGAAAAGAAAACCATCATTCTAATTTGCTTACATAAGCACGGAATGACATGAGTGCAACAAACCAATAACAAAAACTCGAAATTTTTTTACTCTTATAGGCAGCGGAACTTCGCTAGACCAAAAACTGGGGTATGGGACTCAGGGCTACGACATGGCAACAAAAACAAACGAGAGATACCAATGAGATGATGGAGCAATAACCTTGTTACAAGCAAATCATCCTACACTGATAGATTTGAACCCCTTCCATGTCCGAGGAAATGGGACAAAGAAATAAATGAAGTCACATAAAGACTAAATGAAGTCAAATAAAGACTATAACAACCCTACAAACAACTTAAAAGAAAATTCAAAAACCCATCTGATCATGTTGAAACAATTTCCCTACCAAGAAATGGGTGACTGAACCAGGGGACAAATCTTAAGGCCAGTAGGAAGCTCCCACACTTTGGTCCTCATGGAATCACATGAGCTCAACACACCAAAGAAATGCTCAACCATCCTTCATTTGCATGCTGGAAATGATTCCAAGCTCACCACGACCAAGGTTTCCCAGTGAGCAACAATCAAATTTAAAATTCAACTGCCTCCTAGGGACTTGGATAAACTTCAGTTAGGATGAAAGAATTTGGTGGAGAAAAAGCCACTAAGAAGAGGCCTAAAGGGCTAAAAAATATGATTCCGCAATAAGTCACCACTTCCAATCCTTCAATAGGTAACCCACAAAGGCAAGGCCGCTCAATGCATCGGAGATAACAGAGGTCTAAAACCCTATTTTGACTTGCACATTCACCCAAATGGATATAGATTCAACAGTTTTTGTTGATGTAATGGAAGGAAAATAAGTATGATTTACAAGGTCACACACCTCACCTTCCCCCTATGCCATTCTGGAAGCATTACATCCCATGCTTCAAAAGAGGATCAAGCAATGTTCCTTGGCACTTTTATTCAAAGCAACTCAAATTTGGAGTCATTACTATCCAATACATATCAACAATCATAATCTTATAAATTTCAGGGTGAAGGGGATATCTACACTAAATTTATTCCTCATGGATAAACCACTGCTGCTTGACCATGCATCAACATTTTGGATGTTCAAGTTCATTTCTGTGTTATGAGATAACAAGGACTACATTGCAACACTGTATAATTTTTTTTAGCTAATGCCTACATCAGTCCAATGACATGCAGAGTCGTTGGCTGATTGACTAGAGAAGGGACCACTAGATCAAAATTGGGGGGCATCAGTTTTGAACCAAAGAAGAAAAGAATTAGGAGTTTTTGTGATCTGGAAAGATGTAAAGCAACTATACTTGAAAATTTTGATATGATTAATAAAGTAAACTATAAAAAAGAAATCATACAAGAGTCATTCATGTAAAGGTAAGAAGACATCTTGGCCACTTTGTTTGGACAAGTAACCTTGTAATATTAATAAATGAAGATTGCCTCATAATTTTCATTTATATGTATCAAGTTATAAATGTGTTAGTGCATATTCATACAATGTCTTCTTAAAAAAAAAAAAGAGATATTCATACAACGTCTTAATAATGGATGAAATAAATTGTTTCAAAAAATACAACCACATTGCGCACTGGATCTCACAGTTGTTTACATGTGAAGCATTTGTCTTACGTCTTATGGATGATTTCCAGACAAACATAGTCATACATCAGGGGCAAAAAAGGCATTCAATTAATCAACTATTGAATAATTAACCCAATAACACAGTTAGAGTTACACTTTAGTTTCCATTTATTGACTTGCTTTTAACAAAAATGCTAGTACACATGATGGTCAATTTAAATTTTTCTAATTTTTTACGTATCTACAGTTCTAGAAAAAATGCACAAGGATGAATGTATTTTGGGTGCCTGCATGTATCCTGAACTAAAAATTGACAAAGTCGAGCAAATGAGAACACCATCACTGTTTAGGAATAGGCTGTGTATTATCCCAAAGCCACTGACGTGCGGCTCCATTCACCAGGGGGGAAACCTGCAGAAGAAGGGTTTGCCATGAGATTGGGTATTTCATTATAAAATTGAGGTTGTCTATTTGGAATCATATTATAATCAAATTGGAAACCATCAATATTCAATAGGTATAGGCAATGGATATGAAAACAGTATCTTTTTTGTAGGAAGAAAAAATATTTTTGTCCTAGAGATTGAGGGTTTGAGGGTGGATACATAAAACAAAGAGTGTTTTCCTTCATACTTTAGTGATGATAGTTATTTTTTGGATGCTTTCAAATGGGCCAGGCCAGCAAATAAAGGTAATCCACATGGTGAAAGGGGTTATATTTAAAAATATTATAGACAGGACAGGTGAGATCCAGGGTTCAATTGTTGAGACTTCGTGGATTGTTTTGCAAATTTGAGTGGTGGATATTAAAGAATGATATAGCATTTTGAAATTTTCCAGTAAATTTTTAATAGGTCAAAGATTAGAGAGATTCTAGCAGTAACATACCTTAATAACCCATCTATACCAGGCATCATGCATAAACTGTATATAAAAGCTTTCCATACATACGCTTATATGCTCACAAACACAAAGAAGATATGAAAACTTGACAATATAAACTGTGATTTCCCTTGGTAAATGACTAAATATACTTTAACATATCTATCTATATTCATATATCTTTGCATGCTGCTAATTTTTAAATTCTGAACTAATTATTTAAACATGAAAGATTCTTAGTTATTTCAAAGTTATTTCATGTAGGAAAGCTTCCTAGATCTCAAGGAACATCCAAAACATCTCAAATGGTAAATAACATGTCAAATAGAGGTCGGAATTGATATAGAAAGTAAATACAGACCTTCTCCCACACTTGTGAGTGGTAGTCGTTCAACCAGTTGATCTCCAAAATTGATAATGAAGAAATGTCAATTAACTTGGCCTACACAAATAACAAAAACATAAAGGAATTTGTTTAGCATGTTTCAAATGCAAGCAAGCAACAGAATTGGCAAAGATCATAAAAAACACTACGTCTCAAAGTGTAACCAACTTCCATTTCTGTAGTCATGTTTGAAGGCAAATAGATAAAATCGTGTCTAGATACCAATGAAGTGTGGCCCTTTGTCCTTACTAGTGTTGATGATATAGATTAGAGAAATTATACATATCAACGGTTAAATAAAATTGGCATAAATTGCCGCGTCAACTAAGAATTACCCGAGCCAAATTGGGCCGTGGGTACCGGTTTGAGTAGAACCTCATTTTGATTTGAAAAAACATGTAGACAAACTTTATATTTTTCTGTTTTTCTCAACCAATAATCTATATCTAAAACCCATTTTGATTGATTTAGACACATATCAATCCCTTCTAGCCCCAACAATATTGTTTGGATCAAAATTTGCATTCGGGCAAGATTTGTTTCATAAAAATATCACCATTGTTAAGCCCTAATATCTAATCCACCTTTCTTGCAATTTCTCGTATTTCTCAACTAAATCATCTACAATTTGATTCAGAATGTTGGTATTGGAGTCCTCTAACAAACCTCATAACAATTTGTTGCGTTAAAAGGCAAAAGAGACGAAAAGGAGAGTCCAAATTCTGAGGGCATTGTGAATCCCAAATCGAAAATGTTCAATTTCTTTCTCATTTTTCACCGTATTTATTCAAGTATGTCTCAAAATGTTCCGAAGATATTGATCTACAAAAGCCCTAATGATTTTTTAGAATCAAAACCAAAAATCTCTAAGATCAATTTTTGGTGTCTTTCGGCCTTTCTTTTTGTGCCATTTTCTTATTAAAGTGTTTTCATTTTAATTTTTTATTTGATTTTGATTTATAGCTCCTATTATATGGAATCAAACATTTCATTTTGTACCTTTGATTATCTATTTTTGAGAATTGTATGCATCAGTTATCGAACATTATAGGGATTACATAACTAAAAGTCTACTAATTGGCTAGGCATGTGTGTACTTACATTAATAACAATTTCATCAACTTCAAGTGGCTATATGAAATTAATAATTCAGTTTTGGACGTTCCTTGTACATTTCTAAGGGTATGGTGTACATGGTAGACTAGGGGATATGGGACCGTATTTGGGTGTCATCCATCCAAATGACAGAAGTACATAAATCAAGGCCAGTGCTAGATTTTCCTTTTGTTAATGGTAATTTTCATCCTGCATATGTGAGAATCCCAATCAGCTTGGTCCTTCAAAAAAAAATATCAAAATTATAAAAATGATTTCCTGTGATTTAATAGGAAATCTTGAAGATTAGTTCTCGCAATCACAGAGACACATGGAATTTTCAGGAAAAGGTTATCACCTATGGCTAGACTTCCTGTTATTTTACAGGAATTCTTGCCGATTAATTCTCCCAATTTTAGAGCCGCACCTTTTCTTATTTGAATGTTATTTTACTGGAATTCTTGCATATTAGTTCTCCCAATTTTGAAGCCATATATGGACAAATCACCTTGATCTTATACAGTTCTGTTACCTCGAATAGATCAAAAAAATGCATGTTCTTTGTGCGGAAATACAGATGGCCTTAGAGCTTGGCCCCCTAATTGGGTTCCAGCTATCCAAATTTATTCATCAATTCGCTGGTAGGGATCGCTTCTGTCCCCACAACAGAGTTTGAGAGGAGCATCACATTTGCAAATTATTCTTTTGTTTGGATTGAAAAGAAAAGAATGCTCCTCACATTCTTAGGAAACCCACCTAGGATGGTTCATGCTACACATGCAAGATCCCTGCTCCTCATGCTTCTGAACCGCCTGCTCAGTAGATCCATGTTCCAATTTTCTGATCTAGTTCAATATCTCCAATGTGAACTCAAGCTACACTCATTTTTTCTAGTTCCATCCCAATTTGCTAAAAATTTATTAATTAAAAATAAAAGTAAAATAAGAGTTACCTCTAAATTTTTCTTTTTCTTTTATCAAGGTACCTCTGAGATGCGTATAAGTTTTCTTTATACCTAAATCATGTGCTGATATTTAGCTCTCACTTCACATCCTCATCTACTTCTCCTAAATCATGTGCTGATATTTAGCTCTCACTTCACATCCTTATCTACTTCTCCTAAATCATGTGCTGATATTTAGCTCTCACTTCACATCCTCATGTACTTCTTCTAAATCATGTGCTGATATTTAGCTCTCACTTCACATCCTCATCTACTTCTCCCTACCCACACGTCCCATTAAGGAAACAACTCACCCATAAAAATAGCAACTAACTAAATTTTAACTAAAAACCCCTTTTACCCATCATGCCTTAAGTCACATTTCAACCAATAAATAAAGAAATTACACCCATACCCCCAATAAAAATAAAAATAAAATAAAATAAAATAAAACTCTAATTAGCCCTATTCTTGAACATCCCAAATGCGATTTGCATCATTCCAGCAGTCATGCTCATGAAAGAAACATGTGGTTTCCCAGTGTCAAGGACATATCAAAATGTGTGTTTTTAAACTCGTTTGACCTGGAAGTTGACTTCGCTCAGTTGAAATAAACCTTCTGGTTAACTTCTCTTTCTCCAATGATTAATATCGCTAATCATAATACAGGACTCTCATTTACTAACAATAAGTACTAACAGTACAGCACTCAAAGTGATGTTAGGTAGTACTTCTCACGACCCAAGAAATGAAAGAAAAGGAACTAACAGGACTTAGTGCATTTACATCACCAGGGTCACATAATATTATAATGACAATAATCATCACAATGATGATGATGATGATGATGATGATGATGATGCTAATAGAGTAATAGGCAAGTTCTAGCAGTGGTAGCATTTATAACGATAAGTCTTCTCTTCTTGATGGGCTATTCTAAAATTAGGTTCATAAGGCTCTTTGTTTAGTAATATACAACTATGACTACAATGTGAAATGAAGTTCAAAATGACACATTGACACAAAAGAATAAAAGAAAACGTGACATGAGCTAACATACAATATTACAATACAAACTGAATATGTCTTGTCTGAGACGGTATTGTCCTCTGAACAATCACAATACAATGGAAAATATAAATTACAGCAAGTAGTAATATAATTCAATACTACCTACTCATGGCAAATGATAAAGAAGAAACCCCAGATACATGGATGTCGTTGATGTGCAACTCAATAATCCAAGAACTAAGTATGAATGAAAACAATTAAAGAAGAAAGAAGTAGCTATAAAACTATCTCAGTTGTATGACAGATAATTTCTCAGAACCATTCAGATGCGACAAAGAAGAAAAAGGATCCAACATTACCTGGATGGGAACGTAAGTGAGCCTCTCAAATCCAAGATACCCCATACCTCCAAAACAGTTAGGTGTGTCCACCTCCCTGACACAAAGCAGATTCTACAATATCCAAAGCTCAGGAAAATATAACAACATCTCAGGCAATAAAATACTAAGTATGCTAGCAGATTAGTTATTGAGTTCATTTAAATATGCATTCATAGTCATAGGCAAGCAATAAGCTACAAAAGTTGACAATAAGTCAGAAAAAAATTAGCATCAACCTTCAGCCCACATGTTTTAATTTTGTATGAATAATTTGAGAAACAAACTAAATACAGTAGCATACCTCCTGTAAAGAAAGAAATAGAAGACTTTGGGAGCATATTTAGACAAGAAAAGAATAACACAACCAATTCAGCTATAGATAAGATTAACAATTTCTTCAGAATAACTAAATCAGTAAATTTTGATAGTATTTATATATTGAGCACGCATGTGAATTCCCACTGGAGCATACTGTATACTTACTTCCTCGGGCAAAAGAATTAATTCGGAGGATTTTTTTGAACTGCAATATTGGGTTCCACTTTGGAATTACCGGATGAGTATTTTCAGAAAAAAGAGTTGAATTTTGAGTTTGTTCTGACCATCTGAAAATTGGATGTCTCTGTTCAATCTTTTGGCATTCTTCCTTTTAGGCACATACAAAACACAAATGATTTTCGTTGTTTTTAATTTTTTTAGGTTTGTCACCAGGTTGAACGGGTTACATCCCAAAACATGGGTTCCTAGAAACTTTCCTAGATAGGGTTTCATCAGAGGGAGTGAATGAACAATATGCTGCCCTGGGGAAATCTTTCGGCATATATATTTTTAGAAGACATTTAGTTCCAGCACTGCTCATAACAAACCCTTGGAAGTTCTACTTCAGTAAGATAATGAATCGCTATTGGGATTTGTGGCCTTTAAAGTCCTTGGCACTCAGTCTTTGGCTTTTAGCTTTAGTATATTCCCATGTCTATAAAAGAATACTCTTGGTGGATGAAATAGGCCATGTGAGTGGGCTTTGTGTGACTAGTTTCGGCCATAGTGCTGGGTTCTATGGATGAAACAGGCCATTAGAGCATTTGCCCTCATCTCGGTCTGCGGCATAGCCTAGCCTAAATTGAGAGGAAATCCTGCATTCTGGCCTGGAGGCTTTGTGCCTAGATGCATCACCTGAATGGGCGGTGGTGCCTTGACGCGCTAGGTTGCAGTCAAGTGGTATATCATTATTTAGCCAGGAGATGAAATAGGCCCCTATGCTGGAGGATGGTGGCCTGGGAGGACAAGAGTTTTAAAGCCTTGACAATATATCCTTCACAACATGCACGTCGATAGGCACAGACCTGTGCGGTCCCCACGCTAATAGCCGTGTTATTTACAGACCTTTGTGGTCTGTGAGACCTGTAGGGTCCATGTTATTTCCAGACCTATGTAGTCGGTGAGACCAGTGGGGTCTTAGTGTTGCCATTTGTGAAGCCCATGTGGTTCACATTTTCTCCAAAAGTTCTATGTGATCCATGAATCTGATCCGTGAGTGTGCATGTACTTGTGTCTTGTTTGTGTGACTTGACTGGATCACTGTGACCTGGAGAGTGGATCCCCTATGTCCATGTGATGGCGGTCTTATCTTTGTGACTTGACTAGTCTTTGAGATTGACTTCTCCTTGGGGAAGCACCTATAATCTATGGCTACACTTTGGTCCCTCTATGTCTTATGCAGCTTTGATATGTCAACTATAAGCCTCTTGTGGAGAGACATGCAGGACATGGGTCAGTTTGGTTGATTTGAGGTTTAGGTTATAACTGTGGGGTAGTCATGGAGTGCCTTAATTAAGAGTTTTGTCCCATTGCTAGCACACTCTTCCAGTAGTGTTTTCCTATGGCTCTTCAAGGTTGTTTTAGAAACATAAAAAATATTTTCTTTCTCAAATTAGTCACCCTAATTTTGTGAAGTAAATTTGCTTAATTTAAAATAAATTTATTGTCATAAAGAAGGGATAATTGTTATAAATAATTGCTCTCATGGAGGTCAATACAAGGGTGTTTTTGGAAATTTTAGTGGTCCTTTACTGGTTCAAGTAAATTTCAGATAGGAGCCACATGGATCCCACTGGTCATGTGGGCCAAATGGCCCTCAAATCCTCATGAAAAGTGCGTGAATTGAAAATGCTTTCTTCTCATGGGAGGTACGCACCACAGAAAACAGACTTCTAGATGGAGTTTAATTTCACGAGTACCTAATGTTTTCCTAAGGTGACTATGATTCAGTTTATTAGGATTTTGAAAAGTCAAAGATGGATTAGATCCTTGGAAGATTTGTAATTTGATTTGGAAAATTAGTTACGTGAAATCCAATTTGAATAAGAGAATCTAGTGGGCGGACCATATGGAATCCTACAAGGATTGGAAGTGTGATGGAAAAAATCTAGAAAAGATAATGGTGAATATTGGCCCTTTATCCATGAGGCCAGCCAATGATAATGGCTAGGAGTTGGGCACGCTTGCCCCTTAGATTCTGAATCATAGTGGAAGAAAAATTACCTAATACCAAATCTATACCTAGACACCTCCATATAAAAACCAACCCTTCTCTTCATATCTATCCTGGATCGTAAAGATCCAAGACAGAATCAACAACCATACTGGTTTCAGGATGGACCAAATTGGAACCTGGATCAGAAAGATGTAAGACCGATTCAGCAACCACAAGATAGTTGATCATGAATCAGTTGCTCAATATTTGAAAGGAGAACACTTCAAGATTTCTTGATCGCCATCCTTATCACCCAATAAACGACTTCAATCACCATCAAAGGAAGGAAAGAAGGTCCCACCAGCCTACCATGCCACTACACTGAGTGGGTTTGTCCCAGAACACCAAGTAGGGTCATCTCAACCATACAATGTAGGAGGGAAGTTTCATTTCATTAATCAAAAGCATCAAGAACTAACTTTCCTCTACGGCAAAGAGATCCCAAGCTAAAACTGAAAAGAAAATGACTAAATTGATCCTCTGAGAAAATAGAAATGCCTAAACCACTCTAATACACCAAATTCCCTCGCACCAACTCCCCATGCATGAAACCCTCAGGCAAACATATTCCCATGCTCCAAGTCTCCATGCAAGCAGTCAATTTCACATGCATTGGAACCCTCCATTTTTTTGACCTAGGAACTCTACATCTTCATTGATGCACAAATCATATTGCCTTGTTGACCACATGGGGACTCCATGCCACACTGTTTACCCTTAACTTTAAACACAAATTGACCCTTAATGACAAATTACAATAGCGTACTTGACAGTGAAGATAATTCCAACATGCCCTTATTTCAAAGTAAAATTCAGTCTAGCCATCCTAGATGTAATTTGCATCATTATCATTTCATGTGTACAGCCTCTAGCCCTAGGCTTTTACATAAGTTTTGAAAAAGGACAGGGAGTGGGAGAGAAGGGGGGGGGGGGAGAGAGAGAGAGAGAGAGAGAGAGAGAGAGAGAGAGAGAGCATTGTGTGAGAACTAGGTTTTTTGGGAGAGAGGAAAATAAAGATAGAAAGTGCATGGGGGTTAGAGAGACATCTTGAGAGAGTTTTCTTTCTTGTGTTTGAGAAACCTAGATGAAAGGTCTGAAAACAGAGACTCCCAGCCTACAAGTTCATCTCAAAACAGATAGAAGGCGATGGTAGTCTTCCAAGCAGTACAACATTATTCCAGGGGATCATAACCGGTGTATGAAATGCTAGAGGGTGACTCTAGGTGATTTTCAGGCTAGTTTCGCTCAGTGTTTTTGAACTGTTTTTATGAACATGACAACAATCATATCTACCGGTTTTCTAGTCACTAGTCAGCTCTCCTTTTCGTCTTCTCTTTGCCTTGAGTTTAATTGTAGAAAAATACATGAGCAACATATATAAGATAGGTGTGTGGTAGGCTGCAATAAAAAGTAGTTGAAATTTGTTGGAAAAGATTTAAAATTTGCACCTCCATGCCCCTATCATTAGTTGCTTGCAATCTGAAGACTTAAGACTACCTATGATATCAAAGGCTGTGAAACAAAGCCTGAACAAGAGATCAAAGCTTACTCGATTGACAAGGTATTTATGCTGTGAAACAAAGCGCCTGAACAAGACATCAAAGCTTACTTGATTGACAAGGTATTTATGTTAGGGTTATTGGAAATATGGCCTATCAAGGCCTAAATTCCAGTAGTATCTCATTCAGTGGGAGCCATTGAGAGATTGAAATCTTCGTGTCTTGTGAAATGGAGCCCAAATTCTTTTACCGCTAGTACGCATGAAGCATCAAGAGTTCACGTGTTGAGAAAGCAATTTCTCAAGGAGGTGTGAGGGTCACCTCCTAGTAAGGATTTTATAAGTTAGCCTCATGTTTAGCTGCAATTGGCCAAGGCTTGGAGAATCCAAATGAGAAAAATAGAACCCAAGTACTTATTGAGTATTCGCCCTGTATGGAATGGTCAAGACTTATTGGACATAAGTTCGTATCCTGACATGAGACCATTGCATGGTATGTGCATTTTCATTTCGTACGGGAAGCCACTCTTCCAAATGCATTATCCAAGTTTGTATTATCCAAATGCACATGTGCTTTGAGAGGACCCCTGTAATAGAGTTGGATCATGTCCCACAAGGGTACCACCTGTAATCCATTGAGAGCCGAATGATCGAAAGTTCTGGCTCAGTAGCTTTGATATGGCCAATTATGTGTCTCTGCTTTAGACTATGGAACGTAGGTCTATTGGATCGATCTGAGACTCGGTGGAACATCATTCGGGACTAGCTCAATGGAGTACTCTGATACCTATAATTATTAGCCTGAGATCTCACTATACATTTTGTCCTATTTTATAACGATGAGAAAAACCTAATAATTGCTCAAAAATACTTTAAATATTTATTGTGAATTTTAGAGAATTTTTTGAAATTTTATTTGCTAAAAAAATGAGGGTTTTCATATTGTTTAGCTCAAATTCCACTTTAGTCCTGACCTGGTAATGCCATGTGGCGTCTGAGTGGCCATAGGGCTGCCACATGACACCCTACACCTCACTCTAGGATCACTGTCTAGCTGGGCACTGATCCCTAGGCGGGGGACTAGATTGGCATTTGGTTGCTTGTTTAATAAGGGGTTGTGTTATGGTGTCTTGTTATATTTTGTTATATAATGTTATAAATTAAGGCCCCTTTTTTATCACATGTCTTAATGAACTCACACATGGGTTATGCATGGCATGTGTGAAGTTTAATTAATTTATTTATTTGATATTAAAGAGAAAATGCATTTTCAAATTTGAGTTGAAAAATATCTCCACACACGTGTGAAGGGGACATTATCTTTAAATTGATTAGTTTGAAATTTTAGATCTACAAAGTGATTGGCTGTGATAAAGTCGAATATCTCCACATGTGTGAGCTTTGTCATTTACTTCTTTGCCCTTTAGCCTTTGTGGTTATCTACTCTAATACATTATTAAAAAAAACTAAGGGTATTTTTGTAAGGCCATATTGGATACAATTGGAACAAAAACATGGGCCAAGGACCAAATGGTAAAGTGGTATAACTTAGGGTTAGGGTGAGTGATAATGGTGTGAAATCCCATCCTTTCATCCTAGTGGTTGGATGGGGATGGGTGGCTAGGTACATTAGCCTCTCATGTGCCTTTGGATTAGTGCATCAAAGGTGTTGATTGAATCCAAAGTTACATCCATGTTATAAAAGCACATCATGAGATCTCAAACCCTAACTATCTCAACTCTTGAACCATTTTGGAAAATTGTTGCTCCCCTCCTTCTTCTAAGGTTTTGTGAGAGAAAATTGAATAGAGAGAGCTTTTAGAGTTCCATTAATGGTGATCTTGATGGTGGTCCTCCTTTCTTATGCTTAAGTCCATAGTGTGCATTTATCAAGGTAAACTCTATTGAATTTTCTTTTCTCATAAGATCATATCCTTGGCATCTATAGTTGCTGGAGTTTTGAATTTAGAAAAGTTTCATTGATCTTAGAATCCCCATTTGATCATCTTTTTCATCATGCTTATTCATAGTGTGGTCCTTCATGAGTTATAGCCTATATGCATGAGAATCCATGATCATGCATAGTATCCATTAAGTACTTTGCTTCAAACCCATCAAATAATTTAGTCTCAAAATCTCACTCCATTTTCAGAACTTTTTCATCACGTTTTTACCTATGGGGGTTCATAATCTTTCCATACAAGACTGTTTTGGTGGTCCGAGGGACCACCGTGTGTAGTTTGGCCATAACTCTATTATTCTTTATCCGATTCGATTCAAACCTTTTTCATTTTGTTTTGGATGATAATACCAGTGTGTTGAGATCTTAAGAAGTGATTTTAAGGTGTGTAATTTCTTCCTATTTGGATTAGACACTCTTGTGAGATTGAACCACTTTTGTACAATCCGAAGGGACAAAATTAAGTCCTTATAGGGCCCGATTGCGTGGCCCCGGCACAAGGGGTTCAAAACATGGCTTCCCTATTTTAATTTGGCATTCTAATTCACTGTTTAGTTGATTTTATTCTTTAGAATTTTGTTTAGATTAGTTGCATGATGTATTTAAGCTTTGGGACGTAGTTTATGTAATTTGTGTTATGAAAGTGTAATCATAAGCTAGTCTTGCTTTATATGTAATTGCCCCATAAGGGGTTGATATTTGAGTTTATTTACAGTGGTCATACAAGGCTAGAAATGGTTGTAATTGTTATGTAAAAAGATTGTAACTTATTCACTTAGCTTGGTTTTTAGCAAGTAGTTTGTTGAAGGTGTCCATTTTGCCTTGTTTTTCGGCTTGAAAATTTGCTCTAGTCTTTATATCCACTTTCAAGGGTTTGTAGCCTTTAAAATACTTGAGAGCATAAAAAGATAAATAATATTATACTGGAAGTTTACACTCCAGTGGGAGTGTTGGTTGACTAACCTTGGGTTGGGAGTATTTCAGGCCAGATCATGTATAAAAACCCTTGACCCTGGGCATGGGCACCACTATTGAGGTTTCAGTTGATCATCCCTTATTGAGGTGGGAGAGATGCTTAGGGATGATGACGAGAGCCAAGAAGTAGTCGGGCTTCCTACGTGCGGGTGTGGGCCTGTGAAGGCAAGGGTCAATTCCTTAACAACCATTGCACGACATATACACATGACAACGACATTCTGGGAAGCAGCTCTATAGATAGGGAATTGTGTACATGTGTATAAGAGAGGGTCTCCCTTGCATGACTTGCTCTTGGGGGGGGGGGGACATGTAATCCACACACTAGATTTGTGGTTCCGTCATTTATTGACTAGCTTTGATGGTCCAATCATGAGCTCCGGCGATTGATTGTGGGTCATGGGTTCTGTTGTGTTAATTTGAGAAGATAGTTGTGGATCAAAGTTTTTAGTATAGATGGAATGGCTCAGGATCTCACATAATCCTGACCTATTGGTATCAATCCACCTCTATATCTATTTTAAATGCAATTTGGAATTTTTTGGAATTTCAAACATATTATTTTCAAACTTTATTTATGATAATGTGATTTTTTAAATATTTTTTAATCGGATGTGAGGTCTGCTAAGACCAATAGGGGTGACCAGAAGCAAAGTTCAGACAAGTCTTCTCAGCTTTATCTCTCAGTTTATATTCAGTTTATTGTTCTTGATTCGTATTTGTATTAAATTCCAGTTTAAACTAGGATTCCTATTTGAACTGGGATCCCTATTTGAATGAGTCCTATTTGCTCAGGATTCATAGATTTTAGTAGGTTTTATTTTATGCTTCTGACGTCATTTTGGAATTGTAAGTAGAACTACCTGGTTGGTGATAAAAGAAAAAGAGAAAATGTTTGATTTTACACCACGGGCACTACTTTCAATTTATAGCATTTGTAAAGTTAATAAAAAACAAAGTTACACAAGTTTAAAGCATTCACCAATAAAGATCCATTCAAATATCTAATACCCTATCTATGTTTCCCAAAATATATTGTAAGCAATACCTCGATCCGAATACCAAAAGAGTGGTCTTCATAGTATCCAGGTTCATTGCTAACAATCATGCCCTTCTGCAATCCAGTCAAGTTCCCATATCGGTAGCTTATACTTTGAGGTCCTTCATGAACATTTAGTGCAGCTCCCACACCATGGCCAGTACCTAGAAGCCAAAACGTTTAAGCCAATCTGTAAGGAACTGATGAGAAATCAGAGTATATTAAACACAAACAAGATGAATAATTAGCAAAAAGGAGATGTTTCTGGCAGCTGAATGAAATATACCATGTCGATAATCAAGTCCAATCTTCCAAAGGAAGGAGCGAGCAAATACATCAAGAACAAAACCAGGAGTATTATCCGGGAATATTGCTTGATCAAGTGCTATATGGCCCTGTTGTTCACATCAACTGTAAAGTCTGTAAAAACATATGCACTAAAAGTCTAAAACGATACGAATCAGAAGCCAGGAGAATTCAATGCAAAGATTCAAATGGAACCTCTGTGGATTATTCTTGGCACTACAGAAGTAACTTGCACATCTTACTGGCTCTCAATACCTAACTCCATGAAGTTTTAATGAGCAATTCAAAGATCAGCAGACAAAATTTATGCATCGTGACAGAGGCACACTTACATTAAAGTCTGCAAATCAACTGATGCTTTGTTGAGAATAAGCATGAAGTTTATATTCACTTTATCAATCTTCACCAGGCTTATAACTAGAGATCATCATTACTGAGTGATACAGAAATTCCTTTCTTAGCTCTCTCTAGTTCTCTAATTTTGAGGAAGCCTTTGTGACCACTTGTGAAGGAAAAGAAAGTTCCATGGACGAATAATGTCAAAATTGCACTACATGAAAACACTACCCAAAGTTATGTTTAGCATGTTATTTCATTTCAATAATGATGTTTGACATACATGACAGCATTTCAGAACATAATTGATCTTAAAAAGGTCAGTGATGCATCTCATCGGCTCAGGATGCACACCATGTCAAAAAAGGTATGTCAGCAGCTGGCTGCTACTGCGTGAATGGTTGAGCTGCTAGCAATTACGAATTAATAAGACCGAAAGTCATTCTCAAGATGTGTTAAAATAAGCCCCTTAGGACACTGCAAAGGTGGTCTCCCGAGACCACCAAAAACAAAGGCCTCTATCCCAAAACGCAAAAGGGGATATTTTTTATTTAAAATATCCAGATCATCTTCAATTCCCTTTTGAACAATTTCAAAGGAATAAAAGATGATTTTGAGATCTTATGACCTTAAATCTGATTTCACTTCAAATGGAACGTTTAGTGTCAATCTTTTAAGGGCAATCAATTTGGAGCTTTTTTTTTTTTGAGCTCCAATTTTAACTTTAGATTTGATATTAGGGCTTGACAAAAATGATAAAAAAAAAAAAATCATATAAAACAAACCCCTATCTATGTTTTTCGGTGAGGAATCATGTGTTTTTTGGTGGTCTAACCAGACCAACAAACTTTTCCCTTAAGATAAACGCAAAACTTTGATTAACAGATCAATCTTGGTCCATGCAAGAATCATCCAAGAGTTCCATACAATCCAATGAATATCCAAATATTTTCCCAAGTGGAACATCTAAATTGAAATAGAATCTCATCTGCTGAAAAACATTGAATTCATATCAGATAGATGTAGCAAATAACTAACACAAAAGCTAATATGCATGCAGCTAGATATTTACTAAAAATAATATGTATGCATCTAGAGAATATCCTATCCAATTTTAAAGATCAAATTCAGCTTTAGAATCACTGGATTTTCTACTCATCACCAACTAACCCCCAACTTGGTCCCTTGATATGCATGATATGGCACAGACAGCATTTAAGCTGCAACTAATCCTGTCCCATAAATAATAACTGTCATAGGCGCATAGCTCAGTTCTCTATCTTTAGAAAACAAGAGCACCTGTAATACTCTGGTGAAGCAGTCTTTCTGTTGCAAAGTAGGTTCCCCAAAATGCACAGTCCTTGTCACATCAGTTGTTCCGTCAACATATTGACCGCCACTATCAAGTAGAAAAAGTTGCTTGTCATCCACGACACTGCAGCTCTCTGGTTCAGGTTTATAATGAATAATGGCACCATTTGCACCATAACCTGAAACATTGATTAAGCACCTAGACAAGTGAAAATCTTACAATGATACTACAAGATCAACAACCCATGCAGATCGCAGCAGATACTACTGTAAACAAGCACAGCAAGAATGAAGTAGTAATTAAAAAAAACTAAATCTGAGGATATATTCTAGAAATGAGGCTCTAGGGTAGAAAATTTGTATATTAATAGGCCAATGATAAAGCATATACCAGTAACTATCAAATATTTTCCACAAACCCACTGCAATGGTTGATTACCTTATCCACATAAAAATAATTTGCACAGTACTTCTGTTCTTCATTAGCATGCATCAATTTTGTCATTGCTCAACATTTATTCTTCCATCTTATCTAAAAGCATAAATAAAAAAAGAAAATGAAAAACCATGTGGCACACAAAATTGTATGAAACGTCGAAGATTAAGAGAGAGTGAATGATATGCATTTCAAAATAGAAAATGAGAGAGAGAGAGAGAGAGAGAGAGAGAGAGAGAGAGAGAGAGAGCGATCGACCTTCATAGTCAAGAGAAAATGTTCGCTACGATTTGCATAAAAAAAGTGAAGTGGGATCAAGACTAAATTAAACAAAATAAGGAATATGCCAAAAGCAATCATGCAATGGAGATAAAGAAAAAGGAAGATTCTTTTTTTCCTTTATTTGTTGGTTTGGGGGGAGGAGAATGGAGGAAGAAAATGGAAAATTCTGCAGCGTTAAAGTATATCAATCAAAGAATGATGAAACTAAAATAGTAAAAGAAATTTGGTGCACCATGAATGCTTTAGACAAACACTAAGCAAGACACAATTAGACAAAGTTTGTCACATGAACACCTTTGCCAGGTAAACAATTATATTATGGCACACTTATCTACAGCAGCCATCTTAAGAATGCTTTCAATAGGGCTCAAGCAACCAACAAGAAAAGAACAATGAAGAGGTCAAAGGATAGATAAGCACTTTATCACCAAGGATTGAGCACTAGTTCCAAGAAAAATTTATATAAATTGCCAACTTTTAAAACACAGTCTCTACTAGAGAACTTAGATATAGGCTGGAACTTTTAATGCTGTCTTTTTCTCTCCTATCTTCAAAGGCAATTGATCCAAATAATTTAATGGGAGCTACTTTTGCAGAATAGGATGACATCATTAATGACAGACAAAATGCAACAAATAAGGAACAGCAAAGCACTGTTTGCTTTCAAAAGAAGAATCGTAAAATTACATAAAACATAACACATGGACATCCAGTCCATGGGTTAGTTGTGGACTGGAGGGCTTGTTGGGATCTGCATAAAAGAATCATCATCTTGGTTGTTCAGAGGATCCTTTTCCCCTAAAGCAAGTGCCTCTCTAAGGAGTTCATACCGTACATTGGAAATAATTTCCTCAAAAAAAGAAAAAACAGCTCCAGTATTATTTTGAGTGGCCCCATATTCCGATAAATTCTGAGAATTTTACTTAATTTCTGGTGGACCTGAGTTGAATTCATGAAAAGTTTCAAAATTTTAGAATTAGATATCAAAAAGAACTTTTAAAGAAGAGTGAAATGGTTATTATCAAAAAAAAGAAGAGTGAAGTGGTTGCTTTTAAAATCACTACGAAATTCATAATGTAGATCCACTGATGATTGTGTGCCTCTCCTGCCTGGCTTCTACACATGATCGCTCTTTTTTCTTTATTTGTCCTTTGTCAATCTCCTTGTTGTTGCAGTTTCTCTTTTTGTGTCGAAATTTAAATATACCTCTTTGTTGGTCTGGAAACCATAGATGCAACAATATGTATACATTTTTCCCATGAGTAAAATACCATTACCCATAAAATAAAAAAATAAAAAAAATAAAAAGAAAAAAAAAAACTAAATGGCTAATCACAAATAACTCAAGGAAGAAATGCTAACAGAGTCATACCACTGATCGTATCAAAACTGGAATCGAGAAAACCATCCTGCTTTGCACGAAACGCGAGCAATCTATCCGCAATTTCAACCTCTGTAAGTCTCTCTTTTTTAGATATGCTGTCTTCTAGCCATGCCCAAAACTCAACCAGGGCAGCTGCATCCCTGGAAAGCAAAAGAATAGTACAACTTGTTGAAAATGAGGTGTTCCTTGCCTTTTTATCTACAAAGATAACTGTTATTCCATGTAAGCTTCAACAAAAGCTTCATGATCTGGACATCATATGAATTCAGAAGATCCAACTATAGTACCTTATGGCCAAACAAAGGTGTTTCCATCCAATAAATTGAATCGTTTCGAGGGTCTTTCACATGACAAAGCTTCTGGTGTGTGATGCATGTATGTGTGATTTATGTATGTCTAAATATGTTGTGTTTTATGTACACATGGACATAACATATATATGTATGAATGGAATGTATATCGACGAATGCATGTTTATGATGTGTAAGAACATGCTCATGTAGCTATGTGTGTGTGTGTCATTATAGGGGTGGCAACATCAGGTAAGGTCAAGGCACCCCGACCCAGACCCCCGTGGGTCCAAGTGACTTGGACCTGGACCCAGACCCAGGTCTAGAAATTAAAAAATAAAAATAAATAAAAATTTATGATTTGGACCCGTATCCAACCTGCCTGGTGCAAAACATGGACCTGGACCCAGCTCTGGTTCGAGTCAACCCAAACCGATTGACACCCCTATGTCTTTATGTATGCATGTCCATGTAGTTGTGCATATCGAGTGAGGGAGAGAGAGAGAGAGAGAGAGAGAGAGAGAGAGAGAGAGAGAGAGAGAGAGAGCTCACACACACTAATAATAAGTAGTAGACGACAACAAACTAACTACTACTACTACTAATAGTAGT